CAACTATTATAGATTTGTATCCGATAGAATATTACATGGCAAGGCCAATTGGCAGATAATTAATTTCGGGGACTTCATCTCAAAATGATTCTAATATCAAGTAATATTTTAACTAGTAAGGGGCATCTGAGGCAGGTGCTCTGTATCTGAATGGCTATGACAACATCATCAAGCATTCTAGATCAAAAGGCTTGAAAAATTAAAACCAAGGATGAATAAATTATATCCTAAGGATGTTACAACAGCCATCGATCTATCGAAAAATATCTTATCGCTGTGGAGATGGTATGAGAGGAAGTGTTATTAGTAACATCATGAAAGAGGAACAAGTTTGAGTACAATTAGTACAAATAAATTGAAAAAAGGAAGTAATCACTAACTCCGTCAAATGGTTTACTTTGTATTTAAATTTAAAATTTCATGACTTTCAAATTCTCAATATAAAATAATAATTAAGAAATATTATGAATAAAAAAAAATTAATGTGTTTGTTTTCTTATCTTATGTTCATAGGTTGAATGTTCAGCAAAAACCTAACCCTAATGACGTACTGTATCTACCATCTCACAAATCTAGATGAACCTTCGTAAAATTAGAAATTAAAAACTACGTACAGTCTTTTTGTGCACATCAGAGGCTGGACTTTGTCAAAAACCAATCTTTTGTGTTGACAAGTCAAGTTAGACAGACAACAGAGCATCCCATGTAGTGATATTTCAATGATACGTGGTCAATACGTCCCAAGAAATTAAAGCTATACATGTTCAAATTAATTACACATGGAACCAATCTACTACGTACCACCTCCCACCTCAGCTCTATAAATATTACACGATCTCGGTCCTCAATCCACCACAAAATCTTCATTCCTCCTACACCTTCTAAAAAATGGCTTCCCTTTCCATCAAAAAATCTCTACTAACCATCCTTCTTGCCTGCACTGTCTTTGCCACGGTGCCCGGGATTGTGATGGCTCAGTCCGTAGCCAGCATTGTCACACCCCAATTCTTTGATGGCATCAAGAACAATGCTCCAGCAACTTGTGAGGGGAAGAGCTTTTACACCCGGGACGCCTTCCTTAGCGCTCTCAGTTCCTTCCCTAACTTTGGACAACTAGGCTCTGCCGATGACAACAAGCGCGAGATCGCTGCTTTCTTTGCCCAAGTCTCACATGAGACTGGATGTAAGTATTGCCCCACATTTATTTTTAAAAGATTTAGTTTTTTATTTAATAACATAGAGATATAGTAATAATTTAGGATAATTATGCATATACACTCCCGCATCACGCATTCCATTACACTCTTCAATTTTCGTTATTTTACAATTAATTACACTTAACTTTGTTACCATCTCTTCAATCATCTCCCAACTCACCCAACCCTTTCCGTCCTCACAAAATCCATCTTCCTTCTCACTTCCATCCTTATCCTAATTATCTGTAAGATAATTGTCAGCCTCTCTCAAGTTCCCACCTTCTTCCTTTTTT